GTAAAGGAACACTAGCACATACTCTGGCAAATCTTGTACGGATGATCTTTAGTGAGGACACAACGGAAGATGAAATGAAACGAATCAGGCAAACGCTTCTCGAAAACGGTTATCCAGAACGATTCATTGACGTTCATATAAAGCCTAGTAGCCCAAGATCAGCAGTACAAACGGTAGAGAAGAAACAACTATTTCTCCAGCTTCTCTTTAATGGTGACATACCGGCTGAGATATGCACACGACTACTGATACAGACTTGTCGAAAGACTTTTAATGCAGTTCAACTAAGTGTCGTTTTTACAAGTAGTTCGCTCATTGATCCTAGATTCAAAGACAAGATGCAGGATCAACGCCAATCAATGGTAATCTACCGGTTCACCTGCTCCTATGAGGCTAGGTACATTGGGCGCACGACCTGGCACTTGGAAAAGCGACTCGAAAAACATTTACCAACGACGCTCGTCACACAACGGGACATAACATCGGACGTTGAGAAAGTAGCTGAGAAGAAACCTTTCTTCATTCACCTTAATTTTAAAGGCGATACACTTGCGGAGCTTATAACAAGAAAACTGACGCAGTCAGTAAGGAACACTTTCCCAGCTGCGGAACTGCGGTGTATATTTGCCACCAAACCGCTTATTCCTGTGTGCAATAAAGACAGACCGTCGAAGTTAACCTCCTCTTACATTATCTATCGATTTGAGTGCATCTGCGGTGCAACATACATAGGTGGAATAGCTCGCCAGTTGTCACATCGTATAAAGGAACATAGTTCTAAATGGTTGGCGAACGGAGGCACTGGAGTTTTAGCAAGCGGAATTCTTTCCCACCTATTGGAATCAGGTCACAGCGTTAACCTTCCGAACGCATTTACTCTGGTTTACAAGGTCCCATTGAACAATTCAAAAGGTCTACGTCTACGAATGCTCGCCACAGCAGAAGCTATTGCGATCCGAATATTCCAACCTCCGCTATGTGCACAAAAGAAGTTTGTTCAAACGCTAAGTCTGCCCTGGTCGAACAGAAGTCAATCTAACTGTCATTCTGACACCGGCGTCGTCAGTTAGATTACATACCACCTATCGATATATGTGTGTATGCAACACTATCTGCTGTCTAACCATTGACCTACATCTAAACCAATCATAGTGCATTTACCTTCGTATTTTAACCTTATATGATTTGTACCGCCCTGTAGATGAATCATTGAAAACAATTGTTAGCCTCAGACTGGTATTCTTGATGAAAATGAAGCTGAGTGCCATAACTAACCATCTGATCTGCACCAGTCATCTGATTGGTAAGCGCAAGTCATTTGGGATCCTCTATCGAGTGTCATCGCAGCTACTCCATCGGTCAGGGGTTCGGCTACTTGCTACTGCTGAAGCAGTATGCATCAGGTTGAAAAAACCAAATCTGTGCATTCAGAAGCAGAATGTACAGGCATTACAACTACCCAGGCCAGCCACTAACAAAGATGGATCTGACTACACTCAGTGGTGTCACATGCCTTTAGTCAATTGATCACATGAAACGTTATGTTAAATATTTAAAATTTTTGTTCAATCAATACCAACCAACCAATCATCCTCAACAGTCTATTAAGTAGACATAGACATCATCGCGTCCTAATCACTGTGGCATGCTAGTTGAAGGTGAGCAACACACTTCAACTAATATACCGCAGGAAGAATAGAACATTTTGACAAAAAGTAGAACAAAACATTTTTAGTTTGTTTTCACACGCCGTTTTTGCTCTTTTTTGTCAGTTTAATGTTCGTAGTATTAAACACGTGAATCAATACAATACTGTACACAATTCTTCCATTGATTCCGGTTGCGGGCCATGTCTTCTAGTGTGTTAAGCCATTGGCACTCCTCATCTTTGGGTCCCCATCCTGGAAGACGTACGGATCCAACAGCGGCTAGACACGACGTCAGCGATTTCACGTGTTGCCGCCATGTAGAAGGCTGACCACCAAGAGGTCGCCTCCACCCAGGTCCTTGACGAGCGAATAGAGCGCGACGCGGTAGACGCTCAGGTGCCATGCGTAGGACGTGACCGATCCATCTCAACTGGCGCAACAAAACCAGTTTGTTGAAGGGAATACTCACATTCCCCAAGATGCGACGTCGAACGTCATTATTATTAACTCGATGTTGCCACCAAACACGAGCGATCCTCCTTAAGCAACCGTTATCGAACGCAGAAAGACGACGCATGTCTTCCACGCGAATCGGCCAGGACTCGCTCCCATACGACAATACTGAGCGAACTGATGCGCTGTAAACGCGGCCCTTTAGTGAGAATGAGACGTCGCGACGACGCCACAAGTGCCTCAGATTGACAAATGCTGATCGAGCTTAAGCGATACGAAGAGAAACTTCTTTGTTGATAGTGCCGTCAGCAGAAACACAGTTCAATCAATAGTTACTCTCTGTTTCCCGAATGAACACCTCTTCTCAACGTATATTTCTATACCAAGCCTGATGATGAATAAATCGAAAATAATTGTTCGCTTTAAGCGTACCGCTTGCGTTTCCTCTTGCAATATACAAAATATGTTTATTGTTATTACTATTGTTGCCATCACTAAAAGATGTTGTATGCGTACGACAAGAAAAGTATGAGGACATAGCAACGGAAGTTGAGACTAGTCGGTTAGGAGATGGAGGTGGTTCACTCGCTCGGAAGAGCAAAAGTGATCAAGATGAGGAACGCGAGCCATCCAGTTCAGTTCAATTGGGCAACTATGATCCCAGCTCCGAAGTGCGATGGATCCAGTTGCCACGACTCACATCACAAAAGTAACAATAAATGACAACGGCAAGATGGTGAGGTTAAAGGCAAACTGGATGTAACGAAAATGGAAAGAAAAGAGGTGCGTTAAAATGAACAGAATGGAAAGAAATTTACCAACCAGATGCAAGAAAGTAGATACAGGAAAGCTACTGACTGCATGGCTGCGCCATGTCTGATACGGTCTCCAACCATCGTGGAGACCATCCCGATGCCCCCATCCACGAAGACGGTAGGCACCAGCCTGACCAAGTCTCCCAGTTAAATTCTTCATGCCCTTATACTACGTCATGGACTGTCCGCCTCGCGGTTCCGCCCAAGTTGGTGAAGCCACGGCGTAGAATGCACGCCGAGAAAGCCAATCAAAAGGCATACGGAGGACATGGCCAAGCCAAAGTTCCTCACTCGAGTGAGGAACCAGAAGGATTCTTGCCAAAATCCAAATGACGGACCTCAGCATTGTTCACCCAGTGTTCCCACCAGACGTGAGCAATACTCCGCAAGCACCGGTGCTCAGACGTGGTCAAGCGTACAATGTCTTCGCCGCAAACTGGCCAGGTCTCTGATCCAATACGATGACACCGCCCTTACCTCAGCATTATACACCCTTCCTTTCACTGACAAGCTTATATCCTGCAATCGCCATAGATTGTTGAGTCTCCGAAAAGACACACGGCCTTTCTGATACGCAAAGTAACCTCCTCAGTGATGTAACCACCAGAGGTGACACAACTACGAAGCTAAGTGAACCGATCCACCACTTCTGGTGGCTGAGCGGTGATAGCTAGAACCGAAAGTGTGATGGTTCAGTTTTGTATCAGTACAATACACTTTGAAGGTGAAAAGCACATGTCGAAGCGTGCAGCGCTAGGCGTCAGTCTATCCAGCAGTGTTTGCATAGGAAATGCGTCAGATCCAAGGAGAGTTATGTCGTCCGCATACTCCAGATTTGTCAGTCGGTCACCTGGCAGAGCTTCCACTCCGCTAGTCTGAGAGAACTGAGTCGTTCATGACCATTTCGATCACGAAGCTGAAGAGCCATCCAGTGATATTCGATTCATCGTAATGAAGCCTATGCACCCTCATATCCCAGTAAGGAATCGACAACCAAGTTGACCGTCTGAGCAGAGAGCGAAATTTGGCGTCCTAGCAAAACACAGTGGAGCAGACTATCAGTGGAAATCAAATCCGATGTATAGACAGTGGGGAAACAGAGATGTCCAAAGAGTTTGACGCAAAAATGTAATCGTCTTGGGCGATAAAAACCTGGCCGGTAGCGTCCTTATCTTGTCCCTGCGGACGGGATCCGAACACTGGGTAGAAAAGTAAAGCATCTCGGGATTCACAAAGCACACAGAAAGTAAGATTAGTAATGTCACTGGAATACCTTAAACAGCATAAGGGGCGAAAAAGTGGTACATAAACATAGTATATGAGTAGCTGAAATCAGCATGTATGTCTTACAACTGTCAAACCAACACCTGGCCCAGCAACTGAGAGGGGAAAAGGAAAATGCGCGCAAAATGGAGTCAAACTGCGAGGAAACATAAACTAGTGAATGCGACGCTAGCGTCGATCTGTTCATAGTATGCCACACTAGTGAAGGACAGTATCTACTCGTTGTTCACTGCAATGTATTTCGATTTACACCTGATGATGATCCCTGAGGCGAACCGCAATTGCAACATACAGGAACATCTAAGGAAATGACTAGTGCTGTCAGTGACAGATCAGCGATCATTAATTAAGTGAGATTAACATCCTGTCATATGCAGATGTATCGCTGCATTGTTCGGCGTTGATTTACAACGGTAGCCTAGGCAAAAAAAGAAGTTTCCATTGTTTCTAAATATCCCACATGCCAAATAGCTTGAGCGGCTGCAATTATTGGTCTCCGGAAGGCGGACAGGTTGTAGAGGCATAAGATCGCCTTGAACGTGATGTGGAATAGATTGAACAGCACGGGCAGAATGGAGCGGTAACACTATAAGCGAAAATTCTAGGAATAGGTGGATCCTGAATTCATGTGTTTGGGGTTCCAGAACAAAAAGTTTACATGCAAAATGTATGAATGAGGCTGGAACTATCATCATGAGCATTGAACTAGGAAGGAGTCAATAAGAGGTGCTAGTTGTTGAGTTCCATACTACAAGTAGGGCCAAAAAGAGTGCGAGTGTGAACACGCCATACGGCTCACTTGCTGAAAAAACGAAGCCCATCCTTGGATCCAATACATGAGCCAAACGCAGTTAAACTGCAGACCAAATAGTTTGGGTGATGAAGACTTGAAATCCCTACAGAAACGCTGAAAGAAGCAGGCCAACAAGACTTCTTTGATCATGATACCGATCCACAAAATCCCCACAGTTGTGCGTCCAAGAATGCAGATGAGCATGGGGAATGTGTTGAAAGGGTGAATGACTCCTCCAGTCCAACAGTCGCACAGAGGCAGGTCTTCCGACCTCGGTAACAAGCGTCGAAGCGAATGATAAGTTCGACGCCAGTGAAGCGAAACTACGCAGTCGAGGAGGAGCAACAGAAATACGACGCGTGCGGAGACAACGGCTGTGTATCTAATAGAAACGAAGTGGACCAGAGGGATTAACGCTGTGAACAGTCCGGGAGTGTGTCGACGAAAACGGAAAAGAATGGGTTTAGTAAAACGTGCATGCAGCTCAAGAGAAGATGCGCCCCTGCGTGAAAACATGATGAATCGTGGAACAAAGGTTTAGATGAAGTTGGCCATAGCTCAGACGGGGATTATTGGGCTGTTATACGTACGTAGGTAACACGTATACCATTGCCATAAGCAACATGATAGACAATGGGAAGAAATCAATGGCGCAACAGCTGTGATGTCTGGAAAGCAGGCATAAAGATGACGCACATATTACTAACGGTATCAAAGGGAGTGCAACGGGAGAAATTTGAATATGAAGTGGCCAAAAGATGGTATGTGAGCCAAAGGTTTTCAATGTATGTATGCCTCAACATCAGAAGTAAGGCCGCTTGGATGAAGGCAAACATACCATTAGCATCATATGTACACCGTTCGTTTAGTATACCAGATTACGACAGAGCCTAGTGGTCCGCGACCGTAGCACACAAAAAGGGAAATTCAGCACAGTGAGGAGAGTGAGACAGCTGTTACGCATCGGGAAAACATCAAACGGCTGGTTCAATCGAGCATTCTTTTTACACGTTTGCCAGTTATTTTGGCGCAATGCAAGCCAAGAATAAGGTGACAGAAAAGAATGAGAAGGGAAAAAGCAAAACAAATCAAGAGTTACATCGTGTGTCAAGACTGAGATCGTGGTTGGAAAATAAGCCAAAACGGAATGGCTGGGGACGAAGGGACTCACAACGCGAAGGCCAACGGCACGGATTCCTTATCACGTCAACAACTGTATTAAACCAAACACCTTTGCCATCTTTCAGACCCAACCCAGAAGTTGGGAGGCAACAACTGGGCCTAAGTGAGAGTCCATATTCATTTTGACCAAGTTCTCCGTTGGCCTCCCTCTTTTTACATCCAGATCCCGGTCGCGCAAACAACGCACGACACGGGAGTTTGTGTGATGACCTGTGTAATTCATGAACAAAACGTCAGACTGGTGCGTGAAATAAAGATGCTGAGCGGGTCACTTACTCCTTGTGCATTATGCGGTGTTCACACCACATAAGAGTCACACTGTGAAGACCCCAGTGGTCGAAAGCACTAGCTTCCTTGTGGCTGTGATGGGCCAGATTTCGTAAGGGTTCAATAGTATTGAGTGGATGGCATCGTCGCAGACACTACCGTTCGGCACCAACGTGATGTTGGGCCAGCACCCTAACTGGCGAAGATTAGCAAAAGAGTCTCAAGTCTTTGCTATGCGGTTCAGGAATTCATCCCATTCCACAGGCAGTGACACAGCCGCCTAGGTAGTCGAATTTCTGGACAACTCCTCGCTAATCCCTATCAATGGTTAGTGCTGACTCAGTCACTTTGGAGTCGTCAGCAGTACATCTTTTCCGGTCGAGAAAGAGGCTTAAAACACTTAACCAACGTTCGAAGGTGAAGACTTAAACCTCTGGGTCACGGAGAATTCCAACAGTCAGTGAGCAAGCATGAGAAGATGCGTACAAACAAGTGGACGGTGAGCTGTGTTACAGCAAGAACACAAAGCCAAATCGGTTGTTGTTGTTGTAAGCCGTGAGACTGAGACCCGTACAAGTTGGGTAGCTGCGCTGGTTCCTTCCTTAGGATGATAGTGCACGCTGCTGGCGGGTTCCAAAGAGACGAAACAGCAGAATGGTGTCGGTTTGAAAGCTGATGGCACCTGAATGAGTTTAGCTGTGATGAATTTCAGTCAAACGGCTTGAATACTTTATCTATGGATCAGATGCAATGTTGTATTTTTCGCGAAGAATGACTTGCAAGGACCGTCGGTGATTGAAGAGCAGAGAGCTCATTAAGTGCAGTACAGACAGTGGGGGTGAAAGATTATACATAAGTGAATGGAGCGAGACAATGAAGTAAAGCAAACAGAGGCGGTGAGATGTTAACAAGCAAAATGTAATAACACGGGATACACAGGTCATGACAGGCAAATGCAGATGTGCAGCTTACAAGAATACACAGCAAAAGCATGGTAGTCTAATGTAAAGACATGATGCGCGAAATTTGAGTGGCACTAACTTATAGCCGCTGTCAACATTCCACCGGTAATACATTTGCACACCAGCTATAGTGAGAGTTGAAAGTACGGGAGAATATTGAAGAGGTTTGCTTTTGCCAAAAACCTTGAAAATTTGGCTGTGCCTTTCGATTGCGAACCAACGGAGACATATCAAAGCACACCACTGGGCTAGCTGTGCGGGCCACAACCAAACGGCGTGTTCGGGACTGAAGGAGAGAGATAGAAAATGGGAATACACGGTAATATGAAGTGGTGCTGATTGGGGAATCGTACTATAAGCAGCAATTACGGGTGGTGAGCGAATTCTCAACTAATGTATGTCTCTAATTTTTGATCCGGAGTACTTTGGATCGCAATGCGAATTCTCTATTCACATTGTGAGTTAAGTTGAAGTAAATTCCTCTACTTAGCGGGTCGAGATCACGTGCGAAGCAACGAGACTTGTGCCATGAATAAACTTAAACACCGCAATAGATAACTGATTTCTTCTCGGCTTAAAAACTTCACGTAGTGTAACTTGGCATTGGAGGCGAGCGCGAATTTCCGTACTCGCGTTTCAAATAGTTTCACACAAGCATACCACTGTATAGTGCAATAGGGGCATCAACACCAGCAACTACAAGCAGAGTGAGGCAGAGGTCAGAAGCTCCGGACAAACAGCTGCTACGCAAATGCACTCGAACTGATGACAGAACAACTGAGACAGCATTCTTACAGCCTAAAACTTGGTACCTGTGGCTAATCCAAGGCACTGGTTTGTACTGATCGCCAGGTATGTGAAGGCTATCTTGGTCGACTGAACACGTCTATCACAGCAGCAGTACCGAGCGGTCCATCAGCCATGATCCACGCATAATAGTTAGGTGGACCCAGCTGCCTTTGAAACAGGTCGCCAAGATAAACAGGAGAGTCGCAATAAGTCTAGGGAAATAAATAAGAGTTTAAATCACCAGAAGGGGTAACGGAGGAGCTAGAGCAGGAGAACGAATGAGAGAATCCCAATAACCTTAAAGCTGCTTCATACCCAACAGGGTGCCCAATCACCGATATTGCCAGACCCGAAGATTGCAATCGAGAAAATGATAAGCACCAATCCGACTGAGGTTTCGGTGAACTCATTCCTGCACTTTGCCACGTAATTGTTTGCCACCTCGGGATCTCATCCAACTTGGTGCGGTAATGGCAAATAGGTGTCGAGGTAGTCGGATGGCACGCATCTGGAACGCATGAATGAACCAATGAAGATGATTCGAGTGCAACAGGCAATCCGATGAAGCAACAGGGTGTGTTGCCGAAAACCGCATGGTGAACCTCCGTACTAATCACTATTCGGTTCTCCCAATGTTTATAAGCAATAGTTCGCAGGTTTCGGCGATTAAACACACTCAGTCTTCCAACGTCTTACGTATGCAGCGGTCGCGCTTCATATCCATAGAAGTAACAATAGCCACACTGCAGGGTTGTAATCCCTTCACACAACCAATATGCTTTCGTCCATTGACTCCACACGCGCATTAACAATGCGTACACTAGCCTCTTCAGAGCATGACTAACATAGGTGACAGAAAGACCAGATAAATAAATCATCACCATCATCACAATTTGGCTGAAAGTGAGAAACACCCCAGCTATTGTGCCGCGATACACAAGATGATATATGAGAAAGTGAGGTGGCGAAGATTACAGAATACAAAATTTTAAAGAAAACAAAGTAATGTAGTGCAAGGTGTCATATTATGCATGCAGTGTGAGATCATTGTTGCAGGGGGAAACTAGGCTGGATGGGACTCAAAAATACAGACTCCACTGAGATCCGCTCTTTGCCATGTCAACAACTGCATACAAACAAACGTGTTCATCGTCCTACGGACCTCAGCCCCGATCGGCAACTTAGTGCGGTTGTTCAGTGATACTGAGCAACGGTGATGGTGAGTCGACCCATTAGTGTAACAGCAATTTGCACTTTGGAGGTGTAAAGCACATACCGAAGTGCGTAGCGTTAAACATCAGCCTATTCCATAGCATATGTATGGCAGTCGCGTCTGATGCAGAGAACCGAGTTCCCCGCATGTTCTGGGTTTGATGTTCGGAGACCTAGTAGAACTTCGATACCAAGGGAATCGGATGCAGACAGGAGGGTCATTTCGATCAAAAAGTTGAAGAAAAAAGGAGAAATGGAGCAGACCTGACGCAATCGATATGGCGAGATAAAAATGATGAAGACTGGACAGTCTGATCGAAATTTCTCGGTCGAGTACAGTGCCCGTGTCCAGCGACGAAGACTCACCTATACAACCAGTCCGAGAGATCCGGTAAATGGATCCATCGATCACCGGTTTGATGCATTCGTCGAAGGAACAATCGATCGAGAAACAATATAATGATTACCGGTGATAAAGTGGATCTCTTAACCATCCTCGAGTGGTTACCGAAAAGCACAAAGGTAGCGCACAAGATGAGACCGCTGGCGCTGAAATAGTACCACAGTTGATGCTCCTCTTCCGCATAGCTGCTGCCCGCCAGACTGAACGTTTGGATGAGCAAACAGACGACAAAAAATGTGCTTAGTGTCCTGAGTGATGCGGCAGAAAGTGGCTCCGAGGCTTCGTCAATCCTCGAGTTTGGGGAAGTGAGCTATGCGAATGAAAAAGAAAATCAGTGAAGCAGGTTGATGCAAACGTCGTCAATCAGATGCACAGGAAAGCAACCAGCGGCGCACAAACTGACGTCAACGAAGTAGGTACTGAAATTTAGGGCATTGCAAGTGAGCGGAAAAGCATGCAGTGTGTAATCTGGACAGTTCGACTGAGATGGAGCGATATCATCTAGCCAAACGTAAGATGATGTCATGCTAAACAAATACCGATCGGACTGGTGTGGAATTTTTGCATAGGGAGTTGCGTCGTGTGCAGTGATCTGTAGGAAACACTGTGTGCTTTCGAACAAACCCAGTTTCGCAGGCTAAAATTATCTTAGAACAGCGAATACTAGCAGTGTAAATCGTGAAAGGCTCGGTGACGCCTGTAGGTTCACTGTTAAGCTCACAATCATTTTAGTGACAACGTATGGATTTTACACGACGTTAGAAAACATAGTTGATAGGGAACAAGAGTAGAAATTACAAAAAACCGCGTGAAGCAAAGCGTAGACAAAAGTAAGAGCTTTCAAGTAAGTGCAGAGTTCACTTATTAATAAGCGGCAGTGAGATGAAAGTAATCACGGCAACCAATTGTGTCTATACTGCTGACATTTTGAAGAAGAAAGACGTAGGGCGAGATCGATCAGTTGAAAAAACCCAATGTTGAACTGACGTAGTGTGTTACTGAAATAACGTTTGCCGCTAATTGAATTGACACCGAGCCAACGTGTCGCAGCGGTTTGATCTCCGCCCAGTTTTTAAGGTGAAAGCCTAGAAGCCATATGATTCGTTGCATTTCCGATGCAGGCATTCCGATGGAGGCATTCTCCAACTTTCGCGCTACTGGAACTACCCAATATAGTGCTGAACAGAGAAGTTATATCAGCAACCAACCAGTCGCAATTAGGTTTCAGTCGAGACGAGAGATCGCGGGGTCCAGAACATCTGGCTAGCACTGACCGCATCAGTTTGATTCATAATTGGAGGGGATCACCGTGTGAGAAATGAGCACGCTAGTTCACGCCGGATTTCGTGGGAGGTGTGTTGCAGTTCAGGACTGAGGTAGACAGAAGAAACCATGAGGGCAGAGAAAAGCTTCTCGAAAGTTTTCGCTTAACGGTGAGTCAGTGGATACTGGAACAGATTAACAGCTAACTACCATACGCTGAAACATTTCCTGAAATCGTTCTGAGACATGTTTCGAATGTGCCAGAACAGCGCGCAGCATCCCCTGATGGATATATAGTCTCTTGGCCCTATCGGCCCCAAGACCCGTGTTGTTGTCAGAACTCGGAAAAGCACTTCCAAACAATGTCGCTTTAAGCTGTTCGGCCAAATTAGTTGAACCCTGATACATCCATTCGTGTATGCATATAGGTACCTTCTAAGGCCTTATTCATAACACACCAGCCGGCATTCGACCAGTTCATTTCATGTGTTTGTTGTCGCTCGTGATCCGACTGAGTATGATAGTTATTGGTTGAAGTGTAACTTCCGCCGAAAAACAGGTCAGCGTTTCGAGGACGCCGAGAGAGCATTGGGCAAGATTTCATTGACGCAAAGTCGGGATCGATGCAAGCAAGCCAGAAAGACAGCCAGTCTTACACTGAGGTGCGCCGTCCGCAGCTGGTCGTAGTATGTCGTTCGAAGGATATGAAGTGACGACATGCAGGCGCTTGGGCTGGAAAGTAGTAGTACTGTTTACATAGTTACGGTGCGCAGATGCTGTCAGACATGCTGTGGAGGAAGTTAGCGCCAACACAAATAACGCGGATGTGCCCCATATGCTGGCAATGGCTACATTCTTCGTGTCTCTGGCGATATTGAGTCAGTGGCTCAAGGTGTTTATAGTATCGGTATCGCTCCCAGCAAACATACTGAAAGTAATCTACGCGATTAGACACCGCATGTGAATGTGTGCAGTTCGACTTCGAACCTATATCGGGGTAAATAAGAACCGTACGAAAACGAGGCGCCTTTTCCTCGTTTCCTCTTATGGAGATTATCAGACGATTTCTAACAAACTTTCAACTCTTCTCCGCATGGCGAAAAACAGTGATAACATATTTGTTGCTGGCAACATGAATGCCCAAGTGAATCGTCTTTCGGACTCTGAACACTTGGAAGGCCGTTTCGGCGTCGATGAACGCCGAACAGACGACGACGCTCGATTCCTACCACATTCTTTATGCGGTGTACCAAAGATAAAGCGAACGTTTGTAACATCTTTGTTACGCGTCGTACAGCCTTCTAAGTAATATCCCTCAGAAAATACAGTCCAATCTGCTATGGCGACCAGTCAAAAACATCCGCAACGTTTTCTCCTATGAGTACTGTCCCCATGTATGAACTTGCGCATGTCGACCACTTTCTCTCGGTCCCTTGAGTGGTCATCTTACACGGCTTTGACTGTAGTTCGCTGTACTAGTGATACATTGCACTCAACAGTGCTTACATTTTCGGAAAGCCGAGATGGCGGAGAGGGTCTGTTGTCGCATTGTCTTGTCTCTCCTCCATGGTTTGGAAACAATGTGCTTTGAAAGTGGATTCAGGTCTGGGAGACAGGAAAAAGTCTGCTGCGGCTAGGTTAGCAGAATACAGTGGATGGGCCACGACGGAAGTTTGATGTTTTGCTAGATAGCTGCAGAAAAGGAGCATTGTGTGAGCCAGCGCAGTGCTAGTATGCAACATCCAGGTCTGGTTTTCCCAGAGTTCAAGCCTCTTCATACGCACAGCACCCATCAAACAAGCTAGAATTCCCTGGTAGATTTCCTCGTTACCATATGACCACGTGGAACAAGTGCCTGATGTGCAGTGCAGTCAAACTACACAACCAACATCACTTTGATCTCTGAATTCGTGTGTGCATTTTTTGGACGAGGAGACCGTTTCCCCATCCACTGTTATGATTGAACCTTCGCTTCGATTGAATCGAAACCGTAAAACGCGTCGCATCGCTTGTTATCATGTTCCTAAGGAAGTTTTCATTGTCATGGGCAGTGACAAGTAGTTCCTGGCTGCTTTTAACACGGTTCTGCTTCTAAGCGCCAGTTAAGTTTGATGGCATGAGCCTACGCTGGCGTACACTTAGTCAGCGACTGCTCGAACGGTTAAACGACAAGTTCCACAGATCACATGAACTCTCTTAACATGGTCATCAGCTATTGATGTAAGGTCATCCAAACTTGGGATCCTCACCGACCGACATTCTTCCGTGCTCAAAACGCTTAAACCACGGAGAGCACTGCGTGTGACTCATGTAGTCCTGCTCGTTTGGTTCCGTAACTGAAATGTCACTGTAAAAGCTTCTCCACATTTGCAACGCGCACACGTTGTTCTTCAAGCTCTTTAATTTTCAGTTTGACACTAGTCCAATGATCAGCTTGTGCAGGTGCTCAATTCAGTGAGCGTAGCTCGTAAAGCAACGGCCAAAGCGAAACGCAGCAAATGGCAGTTTGTTGTATAAACATGCCTCTAAGTGGGCGCAGTAACCGAAAGGCGCAACCTCTGCCAGTTGGTTCGCTACTTCAAAAGCGGTTTCGTTTTGAACACAGTAGTATTTCAGTAGCACTGCTTTCCAGAACGAACGTTCACATCGTGTCACCTGGCGTCAACTGAATTCCTTAATGACCTGGACTCTAATTGATCATACTGCCATCAGGTACCACGAACTGAACACGCTACTACTTAGTACCACCAGTTTAAATACCATGGTTCTTGCAGAGGATATGAATGCGCAATAATGTCGTCTGAGATCTTCCGTAGCTCAACTAGGTTGTACATATAAAATGAACTTCGACAAGACGGACAACGGCGAACGTTCGTTACAGCTGTGTGGGGAGTGCAGGCCATTTCTTAGGAGCACAAATTTTAGACACAGCAGGCGCGGAAGTGCTACTTGGCGTTCACCTATAGCTGGCCAGCAATGGACACAAAGAGATCACGTTGCCAGCAGTTACAGGTGGCGTGGTTCCATGCTGGACTGCCGCTCGCTCTGAAATACCTGCGTCATGCTTCGGTACTATGTCATTTTTACATGAAGTTTACCAAGAAACGTACCAAATACCTCCATCGATTGGCAAATGAGAAGTTATCGTAGTCCATGGTCAATCCAACCTACCAGGACCTCCTGCGTACCGAAGTTTCGCTCTCTACTCCTAATCACAATGAGCTACAGTGGAATAGGATCGCGGCCGCCATGTACGACGCAGGAGTATCTGCTTGTGGCACTGTCTGTCGTCATCGCACCAGTCACTGGGTATCCGAGAGGTTGGTGAACCTGCAGGAATCCAGAGAAAACTCTCGGCTGACTCTGAGCACAATGTGACCAGACGGGCTATTAGATGCAAACTAAACCAGAGCCCATGTGCTCACAAGGAAGCCTAGGGAGTAGTAGGACTAAAGAAATGGAGGAAGCAGGGACAATAGGTAATTATCGCAAGCTCTTCCAACTGACCCGCACCAGTGGTCCCGGAAAACCAGCCGTCAGTGGCCAAGCAGAGGAGGGTTGGCCAAGCGATTACTTGGTCAAGAGGAATGAAGGACCTTACTTCTAAGTTGGCCTTAGGTGAAGCGTCTCGGCTCTCTGGTTAAGGACCGAAGAACGATGAACACGTTTGGCTGGATACACTTGTTGACATGGTGCAAATCAGGCCTCAAAGCGTTCTTTGTCCATATCGTCCAGATTAGCATCCACTTGCAATCACGATTTCATTTCTTAAGCACTATAGCCGGCTGGTAGCTCCCCGGAACTGGTGGATCAGTAGTATGTCCTTATTCTTCCTTTCCTATATATTGCGGCACAATAGCTGAGGTGCTGTCCACCTCAAGTTAACATGTGCAATAATGATGGTGAGGCGTCAGTTAAACAATCAGCGAGGGTACGGGTGCCAGTATTCACAACAAGGAGTGCCGTTTAGCTCGTTAAGCGGAACACTTTCGAGATCAATTCAGTGGGCCCCCTGCTTCCTTATCACTTCCTACTCAGGTGATGCAGAATGAGCCACGGACAGTTAGTTTAGAGGCTCCATTGAAGGCTGAAGTTCGAGACGCGATTGTAAGGCTTAATCGTTTTCGAGCTGCTAGCCCGTATTCCTTCGCGCCCGCACTATGTAAGGATAGTGGTGAGGTCCTCTGCAAAGCAACGACGCCCAATTCGAACAGGTCAGGAAGGAAGAGACCATCCCAGATAACTGGAGTGAATCGAGTATCGTGGCAATACACAAGAAGGGCAGCCGGACAGACTGTGCTAACCGCAGGAGTATTAGCTTAATGTCAGTTGTGACAAAATTACTGCCCTCAATTCTCCTTTCTCGTCTCTCTGCGGAACGAGAATCCCGGAATAGGGAAGCGCATGCAGGTTTCCGTCCAGGACGGGGCTCAACAGCCGATTTATTCACTCTGCGGCAGGTGCTAGAGCAGAGCACAGCAACGCATACCGCACACCGACTTCAAGAGTGCGTGCAAACCAGCTGATCAATTCATGCTGCTCCAGATACTTGTTCAGAAAGGCATTTCCATGAAATATGGGAACAATTTCCATGCCATATTCTCGAACACCACAGCCCGCGTCAGGGTCTATGGTAATTTGTCGAATTCCTTTCCGACAACAGGTGGCAGTCGTCATCGTTGTCCATTTTCCGCATATTTGCTCAGCTTCCTATAGGACTGCATCACAGAATGCTCCATTGCGGAATCTTACGATACAGGCGTTGAGGTGCTGCCTGGTGATAGCCTAGTCAATCTTGATAATGCTGACGATATTGTCCTAATTTCTACGTTGTGGGGCGGCGCAATCAACCCTGAATAACCTATTGAGAGTGGTCCCATTATTTGGCATGCACTTAGAACCTTCGAAGTGCAGTGTTGTTGAGGACCACCAGATACTTGATGACGCATTGACCCTTGATGGTGAGGAACTCGACGTAGTTGATCACTTCACCTAAGTTGGCAGCTGCACCGGCAACGATGGGCGCATAACGACTGCAGTCACTTCATGTATTATCAAAGGCAGTATTATGTTTTTGCATCTGCGACATCTGTGGAGTCAGAAGTGGGTTCCCTCCGTCTGAAAGGCCGGGTATACAAGGCCGCAGTGAGGGCCGTCCTGCTCTATGGGAGTGAGACTTGGCCCCTCTGATCTGAGGACCTGCAAGTCTTTGATCACTGTTACTGATGTTGGATGGCACCAGCGTGTCCATAAAGATGATGTGCGTAGGCAGTGATAATCAGCCTAGTTCCTTAGAACAACAGATAGCACTGAATAAGTTGCGTTAGCTTGGTCACCGCCTAGCGAGGTGAGCGTTCCTTTGTTTTCCAGATGTAGGGTGGCGCAAGGCTTGAGTTGACCTGGGAGCCGGAAAATAAAATCACTGACAATCCAACTCGGCGCTGTCGTCTGTCTTGTCTTCCAGGCTGGAGTCCACCTGACCCGCTTTGCGCTTGGCTTGAGACTTTACAGGACATCGCTCGCAGTTGGCACCAGTGGCGCGTCTGCTGCCGTCTCCTAGTTGGACTGACTGTTTAAAGTGTGTTTGGTGCTGAGTTAGCTGAGGGGTAATGGCTGATTCTGATGCGTAGTGGTGAAAGCAGCAAGGAAGCGGTCTCGCCGATGCCGTCTTATCTTTGCACGATAGCCAGCTGTTTGTTATGATGTAGGCGCTTTGATCCCAAGGGTTTATTTAGGGCATTAAAGTTTTACGCTAGGTCCCACTTCTCCCCCTCTTCTTCTTTCTGTAGGTCACCCTGGTTGTACGGCAGCGAAACATCAGTTCAAATGGCTGATATAGTGCTATTGATGATGATGAAACATCTCATAGGTATCCTTATGTGACGACGCACTGGTACATGTGAGAGCCGAATTACTAAAAACCAGGCTGGCTTCCGTCCTGGTCGGCCGCATCGACCACATATTTCATTTTCGTTGGTTGTTAGAAAGGAGACACATCAAGTGATACCGGCTATGATGAATTCCCTTGGTTAGAAAGGCGCTTACAAGTCTGTGGATCGAGCCCACTTTTGACACCGCCTATCTGTGAGAGGGGTGCGTGGAAAACGCCTTTCCATTCGGAATCCTCTCTACTGTGACCCCGGAGACCGAGTAAAAATCTAAAAGAAGCTTTCTCCAGTGTTCCCCATGGCAAGTGGGGTTCCAAAGGTTGCCCGTTATCTCACTCCTTCTTTAATTTTGTAGTAGAGATGCCAATAAATAAATCCGGGGGATGTTCTGTCAGCTAACGGACGAAGACATAGCTCCCATGGAGTATGAGGCAGTGGCTATGCAAGCACTACTGAATGGACTGACGCTTAGCGCTGAACGCTTTGGCATCTGCTTTGCATTTTCAAAGTGCAAAGTATCGTTACAGGACTGGGACGATACACCATAGAGTTTAGCTATCAGCGAACAGCCACTAGAAGTGGTGGATCAGTTGCGTTAGTTTGGTAGTTGTGTCACCTCTGGGGGTCACAGGATTGAGGTTACTTCGCGTATCAGAAAGGCCGAAAAGGATTTCTTTAGACTCAAGCATCTACGAAAGCGACGGGATATCAGCCTGTCAGGAAAAACTAGGGCAGGTCACGTTGCGATAAGGCCGGTGTTAATGCATGGATCACAGACCTAACCAATTTGCAGTGATATTAAACGAGTGACCGAGTTTGGTCGCTGGTGATTGCTGAGTATCGCTCACATTTGGTTGGAACGTCGCGTGAGCAATGCTGACGTCCGCCAGTTGATTTTCAGCAAGAAGCATTCCAGTGCTTCTCTCGAGTGATTGCTGAATCTTACCCGCTTACGCTGGCTAGACAAGTCATCCGTATGCCCTTCGACTGTCTGCCTTAGTGTGAAGTGTACTTCGTCGCTGCAGAACATTGGTCGAAACTGCGTGGTGGGTAGTCCATAACGTGGCATAATGGCATGAGGAAATTAACAGAGATTTGGTCAGTCTGGTGCGTGCTGTGTTCGTGGATGGAGGCTTTGGGATGGTCCACATCAACGGTTAGAGAGGATATGGGATTTAGTACAGTCGAGCAATCAGTGGCGCTCCTGCTTTCAGCTGCTTACATCTAGCTGTTAAGGTTCATTGCATGCCGATTAGTTTTGCGCATTTCTTTGTCATTTCCATTCTCTTTGCATTACGTTTGAGTTCAAACCCAACTTTAAAGCCACTGATATTCATTGCTATCCTGGCGACGGGAATCATGCTCACTGGATTCACAAAGATCCGGTGCCCGGTCATTGACAGTTAGCTGAACTGACTGGTTTTATTTGTCCATCACTGACTGTGGCTGAAGTGGTTACTGAAAAGCATTGAATGTGCAAACTAAAAAGTTTAGTGAAATAAGCGTGAATATGCAGAAACAGCACCTACCTTGTGACGAGGAGCCCATGGACGACAGGCGACCTGACGTACTATGTTCAGACATGTGACCGCAGTAACCTATGGGTTGAAGTTGGAAAATGGAAAAAACCGGATGTCAGCAAGGTGTGTACACTGAGATTGTGAGAAGACTCGCTGCAGCAGAGTTCAGTTAACGAGTCACCGCACATCAAAAAGTGCTACATGGTCATTTCAATGGGATGGTGCACGTGATGGCGAGTCCCCATAAGACGAAACAGATGCCTGGTGGTGTTTACCTGGCTCAGTCTGGTTCAACAGACCTCATCAGAAAATATATTGAAGTCAGAGGAAAAGAAAGATGCGCGTGTCTCTCGCGGCTCAATGGCAGATAATGTTAAGTGCACACTAAAGGTCAGGCCCTAATCAACTCAGGCGAATGACGCTACACATTCATACAAACACACCAAGCTCATCGTGTTGCCAGTGAATACACATCGAGACGTCTTGTCACTTGCAGATTACACCGTGCTTTGTTCATACTTGTTTTTCAAATCTAGGGAGTTCTAAGCCATACACAGTATACACACACATACACATACTGTGACTAATACGTGTAATTATAACCCTAGGAAGCCACTCGTTCTCCAATGTGACACAGTTCCTTGGGATGTGTGTGCCACCGCATGAACGAACAAACCTTGCGTCCTAGTGTTTGCATCACGCACTTTGCAACCAACGGAAAGAAGCTACTCACAGCTAGACAAGGAAACCCTATCCAAAGTCCCCATTGTACCTCGAGGGTTGTTTTGTACTTCACACAAACCACAAACCATTGATATCACTGTTAACGGAGACCAAAGGTACATAACAAATGTCTTCACCAAGAATGCGGAGGTGGGCTCTGACAATGAGCGCATAAAGTTATAAAAGGTTCCACGATGAAAGCGCACACGAAAATGGCGCACAGACATAAAAGAGCACATGAAAGGTTGTGCACACTAAAAGTAAACACATTATGGCACTCTGGTCACATTGTCACAAGTGCTCATATTATCTATTTGTGGCACTAACAAGATTGTGACAATTATGACATTCGCACCCAAAGTGTCCGTTAGTTGGAAAGCTGGGCACCTACCGTACTGCGCAGCGTTGCGAAACCATGTACCAAACTACACAGACGAAGCATTGCTGGTCTACTGTAGTTAGCAGAGACCTCAATGGATCGGCTGCTGAAACCCACTGTGTCAGCAGGCCGAGTTAATGTTCCGCCTTCCTTTTGCAGCTGAAATCAAGGCGGCTATCTTCACCTGAGTCAAAACCAAGTAGGGAATGTAAACAACAGAAACCTAAAGACTATCTTCGAAATTGATGTCAGCCGGAAACTCCAAATCAAGCCTCTGGTTGCACTGACCATTGTTTCAGTCGTCGATATAAATGGAGTGTTTGATGATTTTTGCGCTACATTTCCAAGTGAAATATCATGCAATGCGATGCTCACATACCTCTCCAGCTAGACTTGCGAAACAATTCAGGGCAACCAGTGTACCTTACTTAATACTCACATTAAGAATTCACGTCGCAAAAAATGATCAGTAGGAGTTTTCTTGGTAGTGACCACGGACTGTAAGACTTGTCCGCGTCACCGGAATAAACGTCACCCCACATTCGCTTATCCAACGTTGCGTTTGGGGAAAATAATTGGATACATCTCCAACACTTAGGCCGATCTTCCGATTAGGCTGTATTTTTCCGCTCCGCCACTTAGCTCATCAAGATACAAACAATGTGCCCAAGGAAAACGAAGGTGTTGCTTCAATAAAGCCAAACGTAAGCGCGATTGTTAGATCGCTGGTATGCACTTCGTAACAGACTAATTGGTGAGTTCTGGATCAAGACTGAGTTCTCCAAGCAAACAACACACAAGGCAAACCGCGTTGCACCTCGTAAGGGGAACCATTCAGATGGCATCAATCAGCCAGCCAGCGAAACTGGCGATTACACCTCATTCCTTAAATAATTCAAGATTGTTCATGAACAATATACGCCTGGTAGAACATGAACACAGTCCTCAGTGTTGGTGGCCGACCTCTCAGCAGTCGGCGCAGCTTCACATACAATTAACACGTCCCCGACTCACAGTATCATACGCGTAGGAGATCACCATTATAAATGAAACCTGGTTGCGAACATAAATTGCTAACGATGAAGTCACGGGAAATTGGATGAACCTTAGTTGCAAATATGGAAAATGGACTACTACGACTACGACTACGACTACGACTACTACTACTACTACTACTACTACTACTACTACTACCACTACCACTCAATAAAATCATTCCTTCGCGTGAAGTTACAACTAACTGGTGGGCACCGGTTTTGTTTGTGACCGCCTTTAGGATGATGTCGGCCATTCGTCTGTGCAGTCTCCTTATTCCGCGACGAAAAACTCTGATAAGTGACTAGTTTTTTTGGTTCCTGGCAAATACGCAGGTAAGGGCGCAACCACTTATCGCGTAACACCATAAATTCCATCTGAGTCCGAAATAGGGGACAGTATGGTAGGATATTGAAATGCTTACGATCCCTCGTGCAGGTGCGATGCGTACTGATACTCCCACAAGTCTAGCACGCACAAATCCCCAGTTCCGTTTGAAAACGGTTACCACTTCTATACGGAAAACGTGCGCATGCCGATTCATTAATGTGCTATTCAGGATTGCGTTTTCATCAATGAAATGCTCACGTGGAAAAATGTCCACTTACACAATGCGAAAGGGATTAACCACACTTAAAAAATTCACATTGAAAGAGAAGAAAATGTCTGAAAACGTAGGTTGAAATCTAAGGGTACAGGATTTGCCCGTACGAGCACAGTTTGCCGTTGAACGCAAATAGCTTACTGCAAGGTTTAACACCGACAGGAACAGCAAGGGTCATTGTTACAAAATAGCTGATATTCGCAAGTATTTAAGCGAGTCTTCCGTTGATTCATACTGAACACCAGAAGCAACGGCAGCTTGCAACGCATCGTATATCTTTCGCGCCTCAAAGTGACCTGCACGCGCATTGGCTAGTGTAAATCTGTGGAAGGCCAAATCCCTCTGTCGTCCAACGAACAAACGCCATACGCTTGGATGGCTGCAGTGAAATAAGGAATTCAAAGCACTGTGAAATCCTTCGCAGTAGTTTATGACTTTCGGTTAGATAACAAGAGCGGCAACATGGTGGTTCCAAAGATGCAGTGGGATCTGCGATTCTCGGTTTGCTACCGCTTCAACGTAAGTAGTGAAAAAATAAGTGAGCACGGCATTATATGCTTGTTCATTTAGAAATGTGCTGGCAAGCTCAACAAAAACCATCACTTAAGCGACTGGGAGAAAGGAAAATGTAGCCAGCGACTTCAGCCGTAGTTTAATATTGACATCTGTTTCAAAAGCACTGTTTAGACCGAGGTTGCACGCTTTTCTGATGACACAATGTCACAGGTGGAAATAGCATCCTATAAATTCTGCGTCGGGAAATGCGAATCCCGCAGCGTTAATAGAAGACTTCTCCAAATCGACTAACACCTTTCTTGAAATCAAAACCGGCAACAGTAGTTTCACTAATGCAAACATTCTCCTACAGATTTGTGTAGCATTTTTCTGCAACAGGACATAAAAGCAAGGGGGATAAATGTTGCTAATGTTGGCGTGCCCCGTATACAGATAATCAAACATTTCAGGGACCTTTAGCAAAAGCGCCGTCCCCGTATATTGCATCTGTGCAATACGTCAATATAATTTCATTATCACCAAACAAGAAAATCCTTTCTGGATTATCCACACATGAATCATGTAGAATTAGCTCGGAGTAATGCTCAGGAATAGCAAATTTTGGGCCTGCTGTATGAGGCAAATGAGCGCTTTTCCGGTGACTCAGAAGAGTCTGGCAATGGACGATTGTCTGGGAATGTGATCCGAAGCTTAACTACTTAATGCTGACAACACATTTCCCATAGCATTGTGAGGTGTCACACTGACTGCCTCCCACGTCCAGTTTCATCCGGCGCCAAGTTAAGACAAAGAGTGTCTCATATACGCTTGGCGGGTGAATATTCAGCAACAAAACACACGATTTCAGAAATGTACCAGAATATAAACAATTACAGAAAAGTACCATAACTTGGTTTGAAAAAGAACGAACAGAAATGCCATCATACTGCAAATCAGTTGGTTGGGTCTGGAACGACTGAGTTGGGGTCTCGCAGAAAACGCGAACGATAAGGGAGAACGGAGGAGCTGTGGGCCTGTGTGCGAGTATAAATCAGCTGGCTGTACTCGATACTTCATCTGATTTTCCAACGAGCGAACTGTTATGGGGACCCATCGTACCCACAAGATCGCAAGCTGAAACTACGGAAGACAATGAGAAAGGCATTCAGACCAGTGCACATGTTCGATCAACCTTCCAACTCGTGATACATTCACATGACAATCGCGCTATATAAGAAAAGCTGGACTGCGCTGTACAGACCTTGGCCTGGCTAGTAAATTGCCTGGAGCTAAAGGATTGTCTTTGCTCTTACTTTTCTGGGTTGAGTAATCACGCGTGAACTCTGCGTTCGATTAGGAAGCCGTCAACGTACGTGTAGATTTGTACTGCCTCAAGTCATCCGGTGTCCGCATTCGAATTCCATCGGCTATCTTATCCGTGCGGAGTACCATCCTGTTTCCAGTTCGTTCATTGAACTGGAAGTCGCACCACACGTTATGTACGCGGTGCGTCTAGGAAGTAGTTATAAGACGAACGGATGTTGGCGCTAAAGCATACCGACACTTTAAGATCTTCGAGTTCTTTTTCCTTGCGAAGGGAGACTCTCCATCCAGCACGATGTTTTCGTACAGGAATGTCATAACTCTTATAAATTCTTTATCATTTGCTTTTTATAACACGGCCGTTGGAAAATACACAAACCACACATAGCTATATCAAAATATCGCGCTAGTAGATTTGCATCGCAGAGAAGTGAAGAATAAAAACAAGAACGTTTGCAACCCATATAACAACTGTGTGTCGAAAAATTCCACAGACTGGAACCGCAGAGCACGGCCAAA